TCATCCTAGCCGAACCCGCCATGTGACCCAGATCAATGGAGTGCGACCAAATGTCAGCGAATGCCCCAATGGCCGCAGCTCAGTTCCCTTTGCGGCCTTAATGGTGAGGCCGTGTTCTGTGCGCTGCGCACCTGCCATAAAAAACGACCCCGACTATTGTCGGTGGGTTCGCGACTCGTCCCACAAACGGCACGACAGGCTTGGCAAAGGGCGGAAACTTCGTGCCGATTGCCGCCTCAGCCGTCGTTCCGGTTGCAGCCGTCTTGGTGCCCTTGTTATCGCCATTGGAAGTGGGTGCGGTAGAGTTCACAAATGCAATAGGCTTGCTAGCCGCAGCGGCCTTGGCAACCTGCTTTTCCCTATTAATGTTCGACGCTGTCTCCATCGCCGTCGCCGTCCTCGTCATCGCCGTTGATCTCCCTGCGGCTACTAGTCGCACGGGGTGGGCCGGCGATCCCGACTGCGTTATTTGCTGGTGCTTCTGTAGCCCATCCTGCTGTTGCCGTCGTGCCGTCAAGTCCGCAATTGTCGGCCACATGCGCTCGCGGCGGCTGGCTGTCATTGCTCCATCCCGCGCCGAACGTCGGCTTTCAGCTGCCAGCCTGGTGACAATGGCAATCGTGGATGACTCATCCACCTCCGCTACGGCCACGGTTTGCCCATGACTTCCCAAATGCGGGACGGTCACTGACTTTGCCATGTCGGTCAAACTATGAACCAGCGACAGTCTGGACAGAAGTGCGCCGATTAGAACCAATTGCAATACCAACAGTGCTGCACCCATTCGGCGCATGAAGACACCGCCTCTGGCAACGCTAGGAGCGGGGAGCGACACCGGAGCCAATCCCCCAGATACAGTTCCTGCCATGGAGCCGTTGCTAGACGAGTTCAAACGCCGAAGGGAGAGAATGGATTGCCCTTGGCGGTTGATGCTTTGCAAGGAGTGAACTGCCGTAATACATGTCCCAGTGCTGACGGGCAATTCCGGCGTGGTTGCGAGAATGCCAAATGGTGACGCTCCGATGTTTCCAGAGAGGGCACCACGGACTACTGTTTCCTTTCCATCCTTGCCGCCACTGGAAGCTGTCGCACCCTTGGTGCGAGGACGACCGCTACGCGACGGTGATTGCGGTAATGAATACGACATAAAGACCACGCAAACGCCGAGTGCAACTACACGGTATCGCGAGTCAGACGCTGTCTGGAAGTTCAGATGGAAGGTAGCTGCTATGAAAAGAACAGTCAAACTAAAGACAAGTCCTTGACGACTGGCATAACCCTAAGCATAAAATAACTCCCTGGAAGTATTGGCCAGGAAGAAACGCTAGGGCTGACGTCTCGTTGCTGTGTAGGTTGGGCGCTGAAATGTTGTCTCTGGGAATTAGTGATAAATACTTGTTTGTATAAGTAGAAATACGATGCTGGATGAAGGTTACATATACTAATTCCTCACAGCCTCACTCTTAGAAGGCCGTGCAAAAGCTGCCGTACCTTCCAAAACCTCGCCGTACCACCATATTTTCGTGACGGAGGCAAACACACCAGACCACCAGCCAACGGTATGCCAAGCCTATGGTTACACGCGATCATTCAAGTCATCTGGTCAGGACAATCCAGGTCAATATCATGGCTTCAGGTTCAAGTCCCGCAGTTGTGGATGCGCACTTCAGTCCACGTTCCTCTCCCCCGCCGCATGCTCAAAGCAAAGCTTATGTAGTCTTTAGAAGCGCACGATCGTCACGTAGTTCATCAACATATCCAGAACCTGAAAGGGCGAATTGGAAAGTTTAAGATACTGGTATTTATATGGGCAGCGCCGCAGCATTCCCAACGAGAAATCCGACGGCAGTTCTCTGACGCGCTTCCCGAAGGCCCCAGGCTCGGTCTCCGCCCCAGCATGTACCCACCTTGCTTTCCCTAGCACAATCTTGACGTGCAACCCGCTGAAACTTGGGAAAATCACGTCACCCCAGTATTCCCTCCGACGTATTAATAGTAACGTGTGCCCATCGCTCAAGACTGTCGCAGCGCACCTCGCCCTTTTTGGCCTTCACGTCCGCCTGGATCTTCTGAATCGCCAAGTTTGTCTCGCTTTGCAAGCGCTGGAAAGTAGCCTGAGACCCGCTGGAGCCCTAGTAGGCATAAACAATACAAAATCATGGATAATTTTCCATAAGCAGATGCCGACGCTGGGCGCAGGCCCACTCGCCTCAGCAATTTTCTTCTGGTAGGCACCCTCACGCTCCGCACGATATGCAGCTATTTCTTTCTCAGCCTCCGCTTTTGCTTGGCGCAGGCGATCACCCTTGGCTGTGGTAGAGAATAGAAAAATGCGTCAAAGCCACCAATCAAGACTTAGTACCTGATGCGCACACGATAAACTGCGCACCCTTCCGAGCTTCGCCAACTATCCGCTGAGCCTCTGCCTCTGCTGCCAGGAGCCTCTGGATTCCGTCAGAACCCGCCGCGACCTGCATTATCTCTAATGCTTGATAGAAAACAAAGGACTGAAGGATAAATTACCCAAGCCGGCAACGTAAAGTTCGAGCCTAACAAGTGATGCTACTCTGTGAACTGTTCGGCAGGGAAATTCCGTTTCTCTCGACCATTTGTCGTACAGTGTTCAAGCAGGAGACAAAATCCCCTTGCCACTGCGTTCAAGACAGCTTAAAGGTAAATTGCGAATTACGCTACCCTGTCCAAGCGACTGCTTCGGCCAAGAAATTTGTTGGATGCCCTGCGACCCCGCGGTTGTCCATCGTCAGTTGTGACAAGGCGACCAAGGACTTTACCCAGATGTGCTCAATCCAACCCCACTGAGAGCTGAGAGCAATCCAACCCCACTCATAAAGCTTTAACAAGCATGGCTTTCAGCACGTGCGCAGCGTTCATCGCCTTCGCAGTGCTATCTGTCCTAGGAGGGCAAGGGATGCCCATCCGCGGTAGCCATGTTACCACGCTTACCATGCATGACGGCAGCATTGGGGAAATCGCTCGCAAAGTCAAGATGCTCTCCGACAACGGCCGCGCACAACACATAACGGAACGCGAGCTGGACTATCGGCGCACGTGCGCCGGATTGCACCAGCCGCTGGAACGCCTGCGCGTGCATGCCGTAAAGCAGCGCTTAGACCCCAAGATCCATATCCAACTGGATCGTCAATTCCTGGAGCGGGGCTCGGGCGACTGGTTCAACGTCTCCTGGTCAGGTGTTACCGACCCAAGATACGACGACTGGATCGCGCTCGTTGCACCCTCTGACGCCAACCTCTCCGAAACCGCCCCTGCCAAATGGAAGTTTGCGGCGGGGGACCCCAAACACGTTATCACTGGAAGCGGCTCTCTCAGGTTCGTTTCCAGCTTTGGAAGATCGGAATCATCGTGCTCGGCCTAACCCTCCACCCAACGGTCACTGCAACGGTCAGAATAACGGTCAAATGACAGGTTAATACGCCAATGGCCTGCTTTGCGCCACCCGCCTTCCCTCGCTTCACCTCTCAATCCTTGCGCCCCTGGCAATGGACCCGCAACGGCTTTGCGAACAATATGGCCCCACCCCACCCCACCCCACCAAGGCTGCTAAGGAAGACACGACCCCTTACAGACACCTGCCATCTCGGTACCATATTCGCGTGATACCACGATTTTTGCCGCACCGCAGACTTTCCCCGCCCCCGCTCCCCGCTCCCTTCTTCCTCCCCCTCCCCCGCGGCCTTCAGTGACGAAGCGCCTCGAGCACTGGAAAAGCCACGTCCATTTTTTCATCCTGGGCTAGCACGCGCGCGCTGCTGCGAATATGCTCATGGGTGTCCTGCCAATTCTGTGACCTCACCTGTTTCCAAGTTCCTGCAGACCTCCCCTGCAAATCGTCAGTTGGGGTCCACTTAGCCCCACAATGCTGCCCTGGCTCGTGTCGTGTTCTCTCTCGCGCGGCGGTTCCTTCCGGAGCCCTTCTTCCCCTGCGAAAAAGAAGATCCGTAACGGGTTGTGGCCCGGCCGCCCGCTCGCCCGCCCTCCAGGTTCCGGTTGATCAGCTACCGGGCGGATGTTGCATTTGCCCTCATGCGCAACGGCTTCGACACTCCCCAGGAGGTGGCCCGTAGCCAACCCATCAAGGTAAAAGGCGGAAGCTGAAGCGGGTGGCCAGCAGTTCTCGGCTTCCCCCATCATTTCAGCCACACAGCGAGTAGGGCAGCCAGCCAGCCAGGTATACAGCTAGCTGGCTAGCTGGCTACGAAGGCAGGAGAGGAGGCGAGGACCCGATGCGGACACGGGGGGGTTGACCCGGTGCGGTTTTTGCTGAGAGGAGGGGTAGCGATGTGGGAGGCAGTAGTGTTCTCGACCAGCTCTGCGGAGAGAGAGAGAGAGCGCCAGCCATGTCGCAGGTCCGTGGCTGTGCGTGCGCTGCGTCTGGTGCTCTGCAGCGCTCCCTGTCATCAAAGCCGTGCAGCTCCGCCGGCGCTGTCACCGTCAGGGTAGGCACCCTAAACCGGCGCACGTGTCCATGGCACATATGTCCCCTAGCACGATTGCGGTGTGATCTGCCCTGCTTTTACTTTACAGGCGCAGAAGCATAATACCATACCCTGGCAGGGGCGACAGCAGCAGCCGCCGTCCGATGCAGCCCTGCATCCAAGGTTACCGAGAAGTTAGCGCTCACTCAACCGCCAGCCCGGTTTCATGGCGGGGCCCCGGCATGATTGGCAGGATTGCGTGATTAGTGATACTGTATCACTGATACCACCACCTCAGCCTCTGCGATACTGCGTTCAATTTAATATAATCATCCAATTATGGTTCCTGCAGTCGTCAGCTGATCCCCGGTCTGCAAACCTGCGCACCTGCGCCCCCCTGCAGCTGTTGAACCCCAACGAACCTCTCCAGGTGCATCTGGCGCTGACCGGCAGCCCTAGGTACGGAGACGCAACCGTTCCGGCAAGAAGGAATGGTTTCTGGTTGGCCCTGGTTTTCTGGTTTCGTTGTCGGTAGTATTCCGTGCCGTTATCTCGCCGCTGCTCTCGCTGTTGCTTCTACTATTACTACTGTTTTGCTACTGTTGTTGTTCTCGCGATTGTGCTGTTGCGATTGTGAGAGGTTGTTAGGGACTGCCTGTCCAACCGCCGGAATGCTGAAAAAGAGGCCTTCCTAAACCGACCCTTGCCTCCCGTCTGGGCCTATATGCCACCCATCCATATACCACCCATCCATATACCACCCACCCACTCCGACAGCGAGATGAGAGTGCAGTGGAACACGAGGGAGGCGGGCTCAACACCTCAAGTGCGATGGGGACCCAAATCCGTCAAGTACGACGACCGGGACGGCTTGGGCTTTGCCGGCGGCAGCGACGGGCCGGCGTACCCCTCAACGGCGGCGGCGGATACGAGCCGGTACGGCATTGAGGATTTGTGCGGCGGCGCGGCGACCTCGGTGAGCTGTGGAAACGGTGACCGCGTCTTCAGTCTTCTGGCTGCCGGCGTCGTTGATGCGCAACGCGTCTTGCGTTGTGCAAATGCGTTACGTGAGTTGCATGATGCTGGGGCCCAGCAATGTCGCTGTGCCGCGAGGCTGTGCACATGCACCTGTCACGCGACAATGCGTCGAACATGCAGGGCTGCTTGCAGGGTATGGATAGGCAGACAGGGTACGTGCCACCACCACGGAAAGCAATGGAAAGAGAATACCTCCTTTGGCCTTTTACCTGTTCCTCGTGTTCCTTGCGCCAAGCCCTACCGCACCGCGCGCGCAACGCCGCCCCACACGATATGCAATGCTGCACGGAACGTCTCCCCGTGCAGCTGCTGCTGCAGCTATTGCTGCTACTGCTACTGATGCTGCTGTTATTGCTGCTACAACTACTGCTGCTGCTGCAAGTACTGCAGTACCCCGGCAAACAGCAGCCCTTCTGTCCTCCCCATTGCGACCGTGGCAACCATATATCAGCATCACTCGGCTGTGGTTGATCTTCTCCCTTGCGACCGCCGCAGGCGGGCTGGGTGGATGCCGGTCACCACCACGTGGCGCTTCTGACCGGACTCAGACCAGCCACGCGCTACTATTACCGAGTGGGAGATCCGGTGAGTCCGTTGTTTGGCTGGTGGGTCGGTGGGTCAGTTAATACCCGCTAGCGCGCGCTCTTGCTCGGCCTCTGTCCGCAATAAACAAACATATATATGCATGTATGTATATGTACGTATATATGTATATATATACATACATATGTACAGGACGGCGACGGGGGCTGGAGTCCGGAGTTCTCGTTCCTGAGCTCCCCTGAGATCTCCCCCGATGAGACGGTTCACATACTGGCAGTGGCCGATATGGGTCAGGCGGAGGTAAGCAGGAGGGAGGGAGGCAGGAAGGGAGGGAGGGTGGGAGGCCGTGCGCGCATGGGGGCGGCGCGCGTCTGACGTTGTGTGCACACGATGGGAAGAAGCGTTCAGGATAGTCGTCCTGCGTGGCAGCACAACCAACAATAGAAAGGAAGGATTTCTTTAATGTTATCTGCCCCGTTACTTAGGGAGCCGCCAGCCAGCCAGCTCACCGCCTTGGCGGTGCGGTTTGCCGCCCAGAGGTTGAGATATTATACGAGGAAAGACCTAAATCCTGATATCTCTGCCCCCGGGGAACCCGTAGCCTCACCCGCTTACCTCTGTCCTCCGCTTTTGGAATGAGCTCTTGGACCTAGAGTTAAGCCCCGCTCACTTGGAGCGGTGTCGCCCGCCTGTATCTTCTCTAGAGGAACAAGGCCACTCAGGGGTTCGTTCACTCAGCAGCTTGGCTGGCTTACTCAGAGATTTGTTTGTTCTCTCAAACGGTAGTCCCCGCTGGTCCACGTGATCAGGTAGATGGTTCTCTGGAGGGCAGCGAGATGATACCGTCGCTGAACACCACGCGGCGCATGATTGAGGAGGCAGCGGCCTCTCCCTACTCATTGCTGTTGCATATCGGCGATATCTCCTACGCCAGGTGCGCGTTTTTGGAGGGAGAAAGGGAAGGGGGGGATATGAGGGAGGGAGGGAGGGTGGAAAACGCAACCAGTAGGCGCGGACTGGACAAAGGCCGAACGTTGGGAAGGCAACGGTGGTAGTCATGCTTTTGGCTGCTGCTGTTGCTGCCGCTGCTATTGCGGTAGCGGCCTGTGTTTCGCGGTGTCCTGTGTTGCTGCAGCAGTTTTGGAACGGAATGGGACGCCATGGGTACACATACACACACATGTACACGCATACAAACTCTGGTTGTCACAGAACCTAGTTACTCCTCGAGTGGTTCCAGCATCTTTGCCGAGTTGGCGACGTAGTGCACATGCAGTAGTACAACACTGCAATAGCCCAAGCTTCAACCCGGCACGGCACTCGTTCTACCACTTGTGACTGTGGGGTGCAGGGGCTACAGCACCCAGTGGGACAATTTCATGCATCAGATCGAGCCACTTGCTGCTCGGATGCCGTACATGGTGGCACCTGGCAACCACGAGCGCGACTGGCCTGGCTCGGGCGACTTTTTCGGGGTGGAGGACAGCGGCGGGGAGTGTGGTGTGGCGTACGAGAGACGCTTCCCCATGCCGTACCCGGGTGAGCAGCGCCATGAATGGTGTCATCGCGACAACAACAACAACAACACTCCCCAACTTCTTAAACCTCAAGTGTCTGGGGGCACTGGCGTGTATGTGCCCACAACGGGGCACGGTGCTGAGAGGACTGATTTTACAGCAGAGGGAATGCAACAAAGCGAAGGGGCAGGGGCAGGGCCGAGTGCGGGCACACCACGACGAAGCGATTCAACAAGGCCTACAGACTAACCGCTATCGCTTCAGGACAGTACCCCTAGTACGTAGCTCTACGCAGAACCCGCATCAACATCCACACCACCATGCCGTACAGACTCCTCTCCAAATTCACGGGAAGCCTTAGCTTTCTAACTCTCCGCCAGAAAAATACCAGTTATGTAAGAAAGCGCGTATGCTGTTGAATTTGACCTCGTCGATTGGCGAAGCAAACAGCTCCAATGGGCGAACTTGTAGGGACAAGGATTAGGGGACAAGGGCATAAACCAAGTTAACGTCTAGCGGGATTGTTAACAAGGTTCTAGCGCGGCTGTTCCATTGCCCCTATAGATGCTGACGCAGCTTGTTTCACAGCTGATATCCACTACCACTGCCATGCCATTTACACAGATCCGTTCATGGCGATCCCAACAAATACCTACTCCACATACACAGCATTGGCGTATCGACGCCTTTGTGTGCAGATGCTGATGACGTGATAGTCAACTAATTTCAGCCTTGATAACCAGGCCAAAGTGAACGTTGATGCCTGGGGCCTAGTTCTGGGAATGTCACAAACTAGAAGTTTGAGGAAGGCGTCCCAAGAACGTTAGACCCGAGTAGTTTACGTCATGCAATGCCATTGTCTGCATCTCACTGGTATATGAACCTTGTACGCCACGTTTTCCATACTCCCTTTTTCCCGCACAACCGCAGGTAAAGACAAGCAATGGTATGCCTTCGCGTACGGGCCAATATTTTTCATCCTCTACAGCACCGAGCATCCTGTCGGCCCAGGCTCTGAGCAGTACGAGTTCATCGTACAGGTGCATGGGGCTTAAGGAACGTGCGCACCCTCGAGCACATGTGTCCCCTACATGTTGACCAGGTTCTCTGAGAGTCGACTTAGCCAAAGCAAGCAGGCACACGTCTGTTGCAGTGCCGGACAGCGAAGAAGCGAGGCCGATCTGCCTGCCTGCTGCCTGCTGTAGGAGACCTGGCATGGGTCAGTTCGCCCTTGCTGTATAAGACCTTGCCGAAGGGTGTAATCCGCCGGTCCTTGCTGTTCTTCCGGTTACAGGCCCTGCGTGGCGTCGACCGACGGCGAACTCCCTGGCTGGTGGTGGCGGGCCACCGCCCAATCTACGTGGCCTCCACCAACGCCAACTGGCCGGATGGCGACCAGCCGGTGTCCGAGCTCCTGCGAGATGCCCTGGAGGACCTCTTCCTGGAGCATGCGGTGAGCATGGGTGGCGGTGGTTCGATTGTGCCAGTTGTGTGGCCGCTGGTTGCATAAGTTCGCACAGTTGCTGATGGCGTGCCACACCCGTGCTGTGGGTGTGTCATCGAGCAGCACCCGGTGCCCACGCTTGGATGTGGGCGCGTCTGGGTCCACTGCTGCCGCTTGCTGCCTTTGCCGCTCGATCTGCTCTCGCGCCCGCCTGAGGCGCTGCTGTGCGGCGAGCTGTTTTGGTGCCTGTTCGACGTTCGAGTCGTTGCCTTTTGCGTGTTTGGCTATGTGAGGACCGGTCACACATTCTGCTATGCCGCGTTGACTTACGGGCTTGACCTTCTTACGGCCCCTCATATCTATCCTATGATTGAAAATACTAAGTTCTGCACACTACAGAGCAATCTGGCAGCAATGGACGTTTTTGGCTGGAGGAATGAAAATGTACAGGTCGGCCTCAATTTATTCCTTTTTTCCAAAGGCCAAAATGCCTGTTTATTCCTTTTAATATATTACTTTAAAAAAGGCTGGGTGTTTAAACTCCCTAAGCGTGCCTTTTATCCAGCCTTTCATCCACAGGGAAATACTTTTAACTTGCAGGGCCATGTTGCTGGGCTGCTATCATTGCAGGTGGACATGACGCTACAGGGGCACCACCACAGCTACCAGCGTACCTGCCCCCTGTATCGCGGTGTCTGCCAGCCGAGTAACGACGATGGCACGGCAGCGGCACCCGTGCATGTCGTATTGGGTCATGCTGGCGCCGGCCTCAGCCTGAACATTGTCGACCCGCTACCCGCCTGGTTGGAGGTGCGTATGGCGGCAGGGTACAAGGGCTAGGTGCCTTAATGGTGCCTTAATGCGAACCAGCGGAGACTGTTGGGCATTGAAGGGCCCTGTGGTTGGGCACCGTTACCCTTCGGCACCTTGGTCCGTGCTATGGCATGTTGGGTCCTTACAGCGTTTCACAGCTCTCTGCCCACAAGAGTTTTGCCTCTGATCCCAGGCCTATGGCTGCCTGAAGTGTTTTGCTGCAGCTGCATTTGAAAAGGCAGCATCCCTGATCCCCGTGGCCCCTGCTCCTGCAGAACTTGGGGCTTTGGTGGGGCTACGTGCGGATGAAGGTCAGCCGGTCACAGCTGCTTGTTGAGGTGGTCGGGGATGACGACGGGCACTTTATGGACAGCTTTGAGCTGCGCAAACCGGCAAACTGGGGAAAGAAGTACATGGAAGTACACACGCGGAGTCTTTGAGCAGTCTTGCTCTGTTGGGTGTGGTTGTGCAAGATAACTGAGGGTTGATTGGAAGTGTGCAGCAAGCGACGTTGTTTCTTCTTTTTCGTTGCCCCGCGTAAGATCAGGCACACGGGGACATGTTGGACTGATTTATTAGATTAGGGAGTGTTAATAGATTTACTAGAGCTACGTAGCTTTCTCTCTTGTATTCCTGTGTCGTGAACCATTTGTGAACGCTAGCAAACCAGCAGCTCGAGCATAAATGTTTGTCTATACAGCACATGAGTAATACTGTCGTCGAAAAGTATGTATGTAAATTACTCAAGTATTTACATTATCCGTTTTACAGATGGTTCGAGGCACGCGTCCCTGGCTATCATGCTTGCCAGCATTGGATGGCAAGAAACGGCAAGATGTGCTTGCCATGTTCCGATGGCAGGAGATAGACGAAGTATGTACAGAACGCGCACAGTCTCATCCAAAATACTTATCTGCCTACCACTTCCACATGCACTGAACATGCAGTCATATGACGGGACTGTCAGGACTACGAATAACACTCAGGAACCACTATACATGCGCCGCACTGCTGTCATGCAGCGGCCTGTACACAGTAGGCACAAAAAAAACGTACACTGTCCTAGCTTGCTCGATGGCAAGACCCCTGGCAACATCCCCAATTCATAGCGAGGTGAGATCAACGCCCATGCTCCGATGCTCAGAAGAGAGACGTCTTCTTCATAATCCTGCGCATAGGCAAAGGACCAGGAAACCACATGAGCCCGTATAGGAAACCCAACTTGTGTCGCACCATAGCAACGTCTCAATCGGTGATGACTCACCTGATGAACTCGTCCTCGTTAATCTCACCATCGCCGTCGCGATCCGCCTCGTCAATCATTTCTTGAAGCTCCTCGTCTACGACAATCAGATACAAAGACGTTTAAGCGGTTGTCTGTAATCACAGCGGCCTTTTGGAAAAGCGGCCTTCTATTCCCCCCAACCCACTGTGAATAGACCGCTGAATGCCAGGTCTTACCCGTGAGGTTCTCACCGAGCTCCTTAGCCACGCGGCGAAGGTCCTGAATCGATATTAAACCAGTTCTCATACCGACACATTGGTGCAGCCATGCAGGGCATCCCTAGGATCTACCAACCTTCAAGGTGATGGTCCCGGACCCATCATCGTCAAAGAGGCGGAACGCCTTAAGAATCTCTTCGCGCGAGTCACGTTCGCCCATCTTGGCGGTCATCTGCGACCAGAGATCGTGTACTAAGCATCAGGGGAAGTGCCGCAGAAGAGTCGATGCAGTTTTTCCTACTGAAGTTGGACCCAAGACAAGATACTGGGCAATACTCATGCTGCCGCAAACTCACCATCTGCAAGAACCTGCGAGGACACGAGGGAAAGGGGCGCAAATTAACACCATGCATCTGCAGCTTCTGCCGAAACGCAGGTCGAGGGCGCAGCGGCGAAAACCCTGTCCGAGGCGTGACTTACTCCTCAAAATCAATAGTTCCTGAGCCATCCTTGTCGATGTCAGAAATCATCTTCTTTATCTGGGGCATGCAAAGTTGGAGCCAGACGTTAGAGCGGATGTGCGCAGTGCCGATTGGTCTATTACGCATGGTCAACAACGAACGACTGTCCACAAAAAGCCTCTTGTTCGCACCTCCTCTTTCTTTGGCTCGAAGCCCAAAGCACGCATGGCAACTTTAAGCTCCTGCACACCATAGAAAAGCCGTCCATGGGGAAAGTCAGCTTCAGCCCTTCTGTGCAACCTCTATAGTAAAATACATAAAATTCACGCCATCTCAGGCATCATGGCAATTCTCTGTGCGTTAGTTGTGAAATGGCTACGCTGGTGCAAAAGTCGTCGACTTTGAAGTTTAACAAGCGCCAGCGCCAAGAAGTCTCACCTTTGCGTCGATGGTGCCGCTTCCATCCGTATCAAAACTGTCAAACACAGACAAGCAGAGTGATGTGTCAAGGCCCAAACACCATCTCGAGTTCCGGGGCGCGCTTCTCCGAACCGCATTGCCTGCCAAGGGCAAGTGTGCCCCCTGAGAACCTACAGGTCAAAGGCCTCCCGGATCTCCTGCTTCTGCTCCTCCGTAAGCCCTGCCCCTCGCCCCTTCTTCTGGTCCCGACGGGCCGACACGACGGTCTTGGCCTTGTAGCTCATGGTGGGAGCCTTAGTCCTTATCACGGAGCTTTCCTGAAAGTATTTAAACTAGGTCACTGAGCAACTCTATCAATTATATAATACTTCTACTCTCTTAAACAAATTGTGCGAAAGCACATTTTGAACTCGATTATGAGTGCCGTACTTTTTCGTTCAAACATGCAAGTCCGTGATCGTGTCGCATGACATATCAGGTTAACCTTTAGAGCTCCGCCATCTACGGACCAAGTCCGGCATCTTTCTCAGTCCAGGTCGGGTGGTGTCGCAATACCAACGCGGGCCTCGTTCGGCCTTAATCCTGTAATTTGTAGCGCTGTTTTGCGTTCAGTATTGCAAGGTGATTCGCGCGGGTGCATGGGGCACACATTTTACTAAGGCAATGCCATCCATGTCGACGGTAACGGGGAGGGGCAACGGCCCGTGCGGAGCTTCCATAATGCGGCAAGACACCTGACATCAGCTCGCTCTGGCCGCGTACTTCCCTTTATCGGCTGCAGGTTGCAATGGTTCCGGTCCTGGCACATGCACGGCAGCCCATGTTTGCCCTGTCCGATGCCAAGGCGATCGACACGTCTGCCTCCCGCATACTATCAGCCTCGCAACGTCGCAGGGTGGCCTTCGCGACTCGGGCATCCGCGGCTCTGGTCAGTACATAGGCCTCCGCCACCTTGGTAAATGGCATTACAGGTTGTATGGCGTGGCGCGCCTATGCCATCGTCGTTTCAGCCTTCCCCCATGGCCCTCCGTCAGGTTATGGGACCATGTGATCACGCCGAGGCGGCGCGCACAGGTGGCCGTTTGGCTGGCCACTGCACGGCCCACCTCTCACGCAAGAGGTACATGGATGCCAGCCCACGCGGCATGCATGCACCGCTCGATTGTGAACTTTGTATGGGTATTTGGCAGCCTTGCGTCGAGGCCGATTGAGATGCCAGCTTTAACAGGTCATCCGACCCATAGAAGAGCTGGCAGGCTTAATACCCCAATATCACATCATAAATGTTGTAACACATGTCCGTTCATGTATCAAGCCCGCGAGCTGCGATGTGGGCCAGCTGGCGTATTACGCTTCCCAACTGTGATGTGGGTCGGTAGATGTGGGTCACGTCTGCCGCCCATAACAACAGATCTACATCACAGCAGGAAGGCTCGACACGGAAACCAACAAAGATTACAGCTCCATGTGCATACACATTGTTCGGATTGTGTTCAGGACGTCATGCATGGCCCGAGGCTGGTCAGGACTCGTGCCCTTGTATGCCTAAACACATTGTAACGTTTGCTTGTATGAAACGATTAAGTCAAATTGCATCGCCCCTACAGCACACACGTAGAAGCGTGCGATTGCTCAACTTACCAGTAACCTATCTTTGTTCCTTTGTTCTCTCCTGTCCTTCATGCGCCAGGGGAAACATCCTGAGCTTCGGCGGCCCGCGCGACCGCCCAGCATCTGCGGGCTATCGAGCTTCCGCGTCGGTGTGCCTACACGCTCTTCCCCCCACATTCTCCGCCTCGGACCCTGCGGCACTTGCAAGGGCCCCGCTCCTTATCAGCGGCATCATTTCGTACCCTGACCTAGCGGCGGGAATTGACTTGGAGGCCCTACCGCTGTGGGCGTCCTTCCTGTGGCTAATTGCTGCCAACGTAGCAGGCCTGGCGCTGACTATCGCCGTGCTCCGCAACCTGCAGGACTCAGGCGAGGCGCTGACGGTGGTCAAGGTACAGGTGAGAGCTGAACGAGGGGGCGAGTTGCGAGGAGAAAGTTTAATCGGATGATATAAAGATGGACGCGACATCTGATGGCGCTGTGAGACGAGTTCATAGTGCCCAAACTCACAACGCCTAAGGAATGTTCTTGGTCTGGCATCTATGTACAGGTTGCCATGCGCGAGCGCAGGCCTCAGCTGCAATCCAAGCTGCGCGAGCTCAATTCCATGATTCAGGTGCGTCTAAGGTTGACTCACGCGATCCAGGCATTAATGCTTAGGATTTCTGGACAACTCTCTACTGCTGCTCCGAAACCTGCGCACTCGCCTGCACGGCTCGCCTTTTCAGAGCTCGTATTAAGCACGGTAGAGCCGCCGCCAGCACGGTACGGACAGCTGCTTGACGCCAGGTCGACAACTCCCTATGGATTTCTTGCCTGGGACTTCGTGTTCCCAGTTTCCGCGTGCCTGGAGCCTTTACAGGAAGGCGCAACCTCCTGCGCAACCCCTGTGCTAGCGTCAATGCTGCCAGTATGCGGGGCTTTGCTGCTGCACATTGCCCCATCTGTTTGCCTTTTCACTGCTGTGGTTGCGTCTGCTGGTGCTGTTTCTGAATGACACCAAATTGTATCATCTCCTGTCCATGCCAGGTCGGTCAGCAGGGCGCCTGGCTCATCCTAGAGGAAGCCATCCTGCAGCTGATAGAGCACCAGGTATGGATACCTCGTATGGATACCGTTGAAATACGCGTGACCGTTGAGATACTCGTAAGAATTTCGTCGAGGGCGATTGTCGTGCAAGGTTCGCTGGACCTCGGCCCACATCTGCCTACACGTCACTGGGATCATGGCGACGCGCATACGCGTAAGATCTACACTGTCGCTCATTGCGGCTCTTCGTGCACGTACAGGGCACCATCGCCTACGCATCCGTCGCACAGGAGCAGCTGTCCAGCAAGAAGCGCGCGTACACGGTCTTTGGCGAGTTAGCCGAGGCGGAGGCGGCTAAAGCCAATCGAGAGGAGGTGCGGAGGCTTGCATGGGGCCCGACGCCACACCAATATGGGCAAAGTCAACATGCAGTTTGCAGACCAGCTAAGGGGTGGTGCATGTATGGTAGTTAAAGATTCAGTTGATTGTTTGGCGTATTTGGCCCGGGCTTCCTCGCTATCTTGTCTATTCCTTGTAACCCAGTCGGTGTTGACGTCTGGCCACGTGGCCTAAAACGTGTAGTGAGTCCTGGTCCAGTTGTTAATTCTTGAGCTGCAACACTAAAGGAGCCTTGGGCTCTTTGCTCATCTCTCATGCTAAGTACTTGCGATTGTCCTAGCATCTAGCAGTCTTAGGACCGAATTTTGTCTTAACCTGTTTCGAAGTAAAACCATCGGCACGAGGCGGCTTTGCGAAACCGTCCTATGGGCGTTGTATGGAAGGCCACGGAATGGCACGTCGGGGTTCGTCCTGACCCAAATCGAGAGTCAGCTGTATGTTTCGCTTGGATGGACCATGCATGCGCTGTTTCCATCACCACCAGGCTGTTGTGCGCCATATGGGTGATACATCTGACGAGGATGACACGTCGAGTGCAGCGGCAGGCGGTGGCATCTTCGGCGGCCTAATGGGGGGCTTGGGACTGAACCGAGGCAAGCCAGCCAAAGAGCTAACCGTAATCACGCTTCTGCTAGGTGAGTCACCAACCTCGAATTGTTACCGTTGGTAGACGCCTATACAGCTATCATGGCTTTAGGCCACACTCTTGCCTTGCGGCGCCCCCGTTAATCCCGCTTAGCTTAGATTTTCCACGATGGGGCTAATACGGGAAATGGACCTTTGTTCTTAATCATCCCCAAAGTCTTTGCTGCAAAACACATGTGACATCCGTGTCTTTTGCACGATAGTAACCTCCGTGCTGCTGGGAACCGAGTTGCAATCTTACCGCATCTTTTCCCTCCCCGCCTTTACAGCCGCTCGCGGCAAGCTCGACATCCCAACGCAGGTAAATATTGGAAGTATGGAGACACGGCCGAGGGCGATCCCTGTCCTTGCTTGGTTAGCGTTGTTGGATCTCTTGCCTCCTGGCCCACTGTTCCTTGGTATTCCTCCGGAGCTCGTCAAAGTCCCCGACGTATCTGTTTAGCGCTAACTCAGCTGCTCGCACGCAGGTGACCGACTGGCCCAGCCTCCGACACACGCTACAGCAGGTGACCGGCCTTAGCAGCGATCGCGTCATGGCCGTGGAGCTCTTGTGGACCCCGCGCAACGAATCTGACTACCTAACCAAGGACCAGCTTGAGAGGGATTACCCGGACCTCGCGCCCTTTGGCAGCAAGAACTTGGAGGCCAGCCATCCGTGACATCCGCGAGCGTGCGGCATTACACCCAAGAGCAGCTTTAGATAAGGAAAGCATGTGCACTCCAGGAATTCCCAATTTATTGATTTTTGTGGTCGGTTCCAGAGCATCAGAACAGCTGGTCATGGTCATGCACAATTGCAACAGAATGCGGAGGCTCCTGATGGTGATAAGGAGTCCTTCAACCCTAGTGATTGCGAACTGCGGGACTCTGGTACACTCCGTGCAAGGAAGCCTACAAACAGCAAACAAGGGGGCCTGCCAATAACTAGCAAATATGTGGGGTACAGAGTCGGGTCTGGCTTCGGTGAGTCCGCTCCCTGACGGGAAGCTCGGCGCCACGCAGTTGCCTTCTGTCTCGTACTCGCAAATCATACGCAAGGAGAGGGATTTTCGACGGCCAGCGTACGACTGGATTGCAGATGATGTGGCATGTGTGCTTTCATGGTTAATGCATGCGGTATGTATGGAAGTGTTGGGATCCATTCTGTTTTGGGCCCCCATCCTCCGGCGTGATGTGGCGGCATACGCCTAATTCCGCCGTGCATGGCTCCTATCTGTTATGCTTTGACTGCTGTGCAGGTTTTTGGTTCCGTCTATAGTTGTAATTTGTGCAATTTGTGGACTTATGAAGTACCTTGTGTTGGGTTAGTCCAGTTTTCCGTTGGGTTGGTCACCTAAGAATGTGTTGTCCTAGCTGATCTACCAATTGAAGTCGCCTGCCATTTAGTTATTTAAATGTCTGCCGAGCACGTTGCTCTTGGCGTGGTCGCCGCCAGCGGTGTAAATCTTATTATGGAAGACGTGTTTGAAAGGTTGGCTGACGGAAAGGTGAGGAAATTTGCGAGTAATCCTTGTAGTAATTGAGAGCTGAGCAGCCTGCGGTTGCATCCTTGGGTGCCCAACGAGAGGCGTTGATTGAAGAGCAATAAAGCAAATGCCGTAAAGAATTCTCAGCCTTGGAAGCGGCTAAGTCTGGCGAACGTGCCGTATCCGTGGAAATCCACGTTTTCCATACTGAGAAGCGGAACAGATTCGCTCGCTCGCGCGTTCACTTCATGGTTCTGGAGTCGCACTCTGCGAAGGAAGGTCTGTAATGAGCCGGTTTACAAACAGTTTGGCCAGCTCCTTGTAGCCAAGATGACAAGAGTCTGCCATGAGTCTAGTGGTAGGCAAGGGTAGGATTTTGTAAGTGTAGAGCACGATCACTCTGGAACAAACAAAAGCAGCGGGATTAGTCGCGAGGGACGATTTACAACGACGGGCCGGAACGGGCCTTCCTGGGAGGCAGGGGCATATCGCAACTCGACACGTGAGAGGTGTGGCTGAAACCCTGGAGCCGTTTAGGCATGTCGATAGCGAGTTTGGGTTTCGTTCCGTTAGCAGGGGCTTGAACATGCAGAATGCGCAGGGCGTCTTGTACACCAAGCATCGCACGTCACGAAGGCGGGCAAGTTGAGGTTGATGGACAGGGTGGGCGCTCCTAACGGACAAGCGTTTTGGTGATTGGAGATGGTATTAGCTTAGGCGGCAATAAGCACCCAGCAATAGAGAGTTACACGCCATATGCAACATTATGGAAGCATTTGTGACGTTCAAGGGATATTGCTCTCAAGGCCTGTTGGGGCTTGTATGGCCAGGTTCGTGGGGTAGGGACATCAGATACACGCCCCCAGTCGCATCCCTGGTGATGTAACGCTTGTACCTGTGGGTCTGCAGCAGCATAAATCGCCCAGGTATGGAGTAGCCAGAATGCAGGGCATGTTGCGCACCGTTGGCCGTTGGGGGCGTCATCCGAAAGCGGCCAGAAGTACCTGCATGCACGCGGGCGTGCACGAGCAGCTGTGCGAACGCCGTTCGCACATTACGACAGAAACTCCTAGGGTCAGGGATTTCTCATCTGTGCCAGCACTGTCATGGCGAATGCAACACCGCTTATGCGCCGAGCCCGATTTGGACGAGCGTTGGCGGACGAGCGTTGAAGTTCAACAGTCGTTCGTACAGCGAGATCAGAACTCCGCCACCAATGGCACAGCTCCGATAGCTTGCGACTTACTAATTGAGCGATATTCGCGATACGTTTATCGGACGCGACACCGGTGAAGTCTTGCAGCACCTTAGGCCTTGAAATACAGCTTTCCTGTGATCACCGTAATTCAAGTGTTCTAATGAAACTCACAAAGCAAAACGATGTCGTGGCACATGATGAGGGCGTCTGGTCGGTAGCTTGGATTCCGGGAACAAATAGCCTGCTGACAGGTTCAGCTGACGAAAGCGTTAAGCGATGGGAAGTCACTGATCATGGTATCACCGAGACATACAAACAGGACGGCAATGGGCTTGGCGTAATTTCGGTGGCTGCGCACGGGTCGGGCCAGTTCGCGGCCTCGAGCGCCCTTGACTCCTTGATACGCGCGTGGGACGTCAACGAGCAAACGACAATATCGGTGATCGAAATGGCGCCGACTGAAACCTGGACGGTGGCCTTTGGGCCACAGACAGATGTAATCGACCTGGCCGTGTCGGGAGGAACACGTAACACCGTCGTATTATGGCGTATCGGAGAGGGCAAGACGGAAAATGTTGGGGAGCTGGCAGCGCCTACGGTACGCGGTCGCCGAGGACATGGGTTGTAAACGCGCACACTGGCATGGCTGGGTGGGGCCACCCAGTCCTGTGCTGGAGCCGCAAGATCCAATCCATGAAGCACCTAACCGTACATGCAAGCCCTGAACTACACAACCTATGGAGCTAGCTTGCACCTTCCTGTCCTCCCTCTCCACTACGGAGCAGGACTAACGCAGTACAGCCCGTACATGGCAAACCACATCACGCCATCGCTCGCTATGTCTTCTCCGGAGAGAATCCCCAGGTCCCCGCATCGAGAAGAAAAACTCGCCTTATAAACCGCCCTTCACTTAACGCTCGCCCTCGGCTCCCGACCACAACCCTGATCCCGACCACAGGCCGCCGCAGAAAGTAAGGCCCACAAGCGCGAACAATTTGTACTGAGTGCAGCTTACAGCCCAGATGGCCTGCGGCTGGCGGCCGGCTGCATGGATGGCACTGTGGCAGTGTGGGACTTAGCGACCTCAAAGCTTCTGGGCAAGTGCGAGGGCCACCACAAGCCCGTACGGAGCCTGACCTTCACAAGCGGTAAGGGTTCGTCGCGGGTAATGGTGTTGGTTCGTATCTGCAAGGCCGCGGTTGCTGCTGCGGGTCGGAGGGTGCAGCAAGGGGGCTAACTGCTTCACTTTTAAGGACACGCATAACCACGCAGGACCGGGGCATGGCTCGGCAGTGGAGCTCTTCTGTGGAGCTCTTCCGCTTCTTGCGCGGAAGAACCCTGGAAGCTCAAAGCCGTCGGTGCCCTGCGTGTATACCCTGTGTACTGCGTTCCCTTGGTTTCTGAGGTGCACGAACCTTTTCCGGACCCTGACTGGGAGCCAAATACCGCTTTTTCGGCGGCTGGGCCCGCCAACTGCCAAGGGCAGTCTCTCCGCCCAATGACGTTGAGCTCACGGTCATTAACCCCAGCTGCCTGATGCCTGAAGTACGCGTCGCAGGAAATGCAGTTTTTGCTGTTCTGGCTTAGTCACTTTCGGGTCCTACGGGGCTCGTGAAGCCCTCAATAGCCCTCATTCGTAGCCTCGCTCCCGCATCGCCTTCCCTCAAACCGCGCTCTGCCCGCGGACGGCCCTCCCTCAGATAGCCGGATGCTGCTGACCGCCTGTGACGACATGCACCTTCATCTGTACGACGTGGAGAGCTGCAACCTCGTAGAGTCCTTCTCAGGTCAGCAGCGGCTGGTCGCAAGGGCTGCGGAGGGCGGGGTCCATTGGGAGAGGTTGTTGTCAGGGTTGCTGCAGCAGCGCATGTATAGGCGCTGATGGCGTGTAGGAAATGATGAAATGGTGTGTAGCCGCGGAGGGCGCGAAGGGGGGGGGCTGTGAACGAGGGCCTGGTCGGTTGGACCCCCCGACACGGCCCCGCGCGCGTCCCCCATTCTACTCGCTTCACGTTACTCGGCATCGCCACGTTACCTGTTTTGGCTGTCCTTGTGTTGTGTATTAATATTGCTCGTCTTAAAGGTGAGGGACTGCAAGACAGTCCAACACGTTTCAGGTCACGCCGGGATCAAGACAGTACGGCGGCGCACAGGCAGCAGCAAGTAAAGAACATAATTAGTTGCATCTCTTGTTTCTATCTAAAGGGAAACATGACATACTAAGAGAGGGACATAGCATACTCTCATAGCATGCTCTATTAAATTAGCGAGGAAGAACCTCTTCCTCAAGTTATCCTCACGTTGTCGCCGCTGACATGGTCGTGAATGGCGGCCTTAGGTCACGAGTCATGGGTACTGTCCGTAGCCATGCACCCGGGCGGCTCCACCTTCGCCAGCGGCGGCAGTGACGCATGCGTCAAGCTGTGGGACATCAACACGCGGACGTGCGTACAGACGCTCTCTGCAGACCATACGGATCAGGTGCGGCGGCACACGCCTGGGAAAGGGGTCCGATGGAGAAGTGTGTGTCGGGTGGGGGGGGAGGGAGTGTTCCCGCACTGCACGGCAGGACGGGCAGTGATGTGGGGTACGCGGGTTATACGCGTGCGTCACCGTCTTGCCGCACATGTCGCAGCGTGCCTGTCGTACGTGTTGGCGATCGCTTTGGCGTTTATGTATGATTGGTATACGTAGTGCGGTGTGGTGTGGTGTGGGGGATGTGCTTGCGCAGCTGGCGAGACTCCTCTAATCGCCGATCGCCCGAAGAGGCGATGCAAAGTGGCTCCAGGGACGGTGGCGCCTTCCCTCTTCTGGACGCCCGCGTGTCCCCTATAGGCAGGCTAGCTAGCTTGGTAGGGAGTCAAAACCACATACATACGCAAACACTGGCCGTGTAATACGTAACTAGGTATAGCTTAAGGGTGTTGTTTCAGCACTTTCCATTTATTCACGATATCTATTCGCATCTCCTACCGGAAATTATCTTTCTTTGGCGCGGGGCTGCCGCCTGCTGGCCCGCTCGCATACATTTCGCAGGTCTGGGGCGTGGCATTCAGCGGCACCGGTTCACACCTGGCCTCAGTGGCAGACGACAAGCGGCTGGTGGTGTATGCAGTGGCATGAGTGAGTGAGTGAGTGCGTTCAGCAAGAGACACAGCAATACAGCCAGGCACTTCTCGACCGGACCGAAAGCGACCGCACAAGAGGGGTAGGATGGTAAGGATGTCGTCCTATGGAGGTGCTGGCCTTGGCTGCGGCGGTGCCGTGGCTGGCGCTGACGGTTCTTCGGCCTGCCTGCGGCAACGCCATGTCGTAGGCAGCGGCTGCTGCGGCTGCTGCAGGAGGGTGCCAACGGCGGAACGCCACGACAGCGATGGGTCCAGCAGTGAGATGCGGGTACAGTGTCAGGAGCAGCGGTCAAGAAGAGTGAGCGATAAAGCCAGCTGGCGGTCACAGGAGAAAGGAAGATGAAAGGAAAGGAAAGGGGGAAAGGTGTACCGCACCAGGGGGACCAGAAGAACGGCATTCAGTTTGGGTTTTCTTGTCATGGCACCATAGGATGAGGCCAACGGAAAGACGGTTGTATTAGCTGTTGTTGTTGTTGTTGCTGTGCTGCTGCTGCTGCGATGGCGGTAACGGCGAAAGCGACGGCTCTCAAAGACTGGCAGCAACGGCTGTTATGTCCTGTCATCGGTTCGGTTTCAAAAAGGCTCGTGTATGTATTGATGCATGCATATGTGCGCGTGTGTGTTTTGGGGTTGTGGCTGGGAACCAGGAGTTCCGCCATGGGTGGGCGTGCCGACATAGGGCATCAGGCAAGTACCCTAAAGGCACACCTGACGTGGAGGTTTTCATACGCAGACAAGATTACGGAGCTGTCTGCCCTGCTACACAGAAGTTGGTGCCGAAATAGCAGCAACAGCAATAGCAGCAGGAGATGCAACGACACGGCCAATGGAATACGTACGGTGTTGTGTTGACGTTCGAATCGCGCAGTGGACTTACCAAGCACGTGCTGCTATCTATGTGCCGAAGATGTGGAGAAAAGATTGCGTCCTGTGTTTTTGTTCTTGGGGGAGGGTTTGACCAGATTGGAACCCGGAAAAGGCTCGGAAAACCAACCCGAACTGACTGACTTACTGACTGACTGGTTTAGTGCGGGTTCCTTTCCGCTTGTTATGCTCCCCCATCCCCTTTCTCATCACGAGTTGGCGAATGGCCTTCCCGACTGACAACACAAGCTGCCTCGTGCCTGCTGCCTACCACAATCTACGGAGAGCGCGACTGCACCAGTTTAGGGCTGCAGTTAGCATGCCAGCATGTGGGTCGCCGCCGCCCTGACTTGCTCCATCCTCTTGCACAACCTGCGCACAATGCACGTGGACAGGATGGTCGATGATATGGAGTGTGTACGACATGGCCTGCGATCAGAGGATCTTCTCTCCTTGTTTTGTCGTTTTCGTTAGTGGTGGAATTTGATGCCGGCTGACAGAAACAGGTTCTAAAAGCGCTTGAATAACTTACGTGGGGCCCGCAAGGACGGCGGGGTCCTCGCCGTTGCCGGCTGAAGGGGGTAGGAGGGATGATGGTAAGAGGGAGTGGGTGGCAACTAGGCAGTCCTAAGTATATGAGAAAGGGAAGGGGTTGCGCGTCACGCTATGGCGAATGCTGAGGATCTTGTATGGCTGTTCATGTCGTTGCCACACAGCCGCTGAGGGAAATTGGTCGTGTTGGCTCTGCCCCTTGCGATGCGCGCTGCGTTTCATCACGAGCCGGGCTGCGGACTCCAGCCTGCGCACAGGAAGCCTGTCGCCAAGTGTCTACTTTTTGTAACATCCGGTATACGAGGCAAAACTTTTAATGTTTGATGGCAAGTCAGGATTGTCATATGTCCTTTCCTGGTTGGTAAAGTGGTGATATGCAGGAGGTGGTTGAGGTGCCGTTTAACCTAGGTGAACGACTGTGCACGTACCTTCCTCCACAGAACCGTACTCCCTTGTATGATGCCCAACATTAACTTAGCGATGGCTTGCCCCGCATCACACATACGGTGGCCAGCTGGCCACTGCACACGAGGCGAGACGAAACGTCAAGCTGGACGCTGCAGCGAATTGTTGTGCCGACCTCATGAACTCAACCGCAGTAAGACTTCTGAGTTGTGCGTGGATTAATGATATGCAGGCGACGCTGCAAAGGCCGTACTGTACAGGACACTTACGACAAACCCCAAAGGGCTGTTTCCACGACCATACGCCATGTGGGGTTAAATGCATTTGAAACCGCTTGACACGATGCCCCATGTGAAGGGCATCGGTGCCGGGAATCCTGACGTTTAAAGCACCGCGTCAAGCCTAACGGAATTGGCTGCACCGGTGCAGCTCAAAGTTTTTTTACCTTTACGCTTCATAACATTTTTCTATTGTTAAGCAGCCCCTCGCACAAATGTGTCCGGTCGTACTTCGCGAATAAACAGTTCGTACATCGTCCCAAAAGAAATTTCTTTCGAATTTTGCCGTGCGGATGCGCGCGTGCGATTCGCAAAATGCGCCTGTACAAGTGTATATAAATTTTCTTGGCGGAAAAGGACCAGGTGCGCCAGCGCGTTGCGCAGGTGGGCATGTTGGCCATAGCCGCACGCGGCATGCAGGCTGGACTATTGCGTGGATGCTTTGCAGTAACTAAAAGCAACGTCGTAGCTTGCAACTCTGGGCTCGTGAAACTGCCGCGGAAGATGAAGCGCTGGCGAAGAGGCAGTTGTATGCAGCACCTTGTTCAGAGTAAAGTCAAATTACAAAGTTGCGCAAAGTATAACATACATAAACTTAATTAAACATAAGAACAGATAAGACGTTTAGAGCCTTGTCGGTGACATGGACGCCGCTGTTGGCTTGGAACAGCTATTTGCTGTGCATAGGGAGGTGCCCGCGTTAGCCGTGTTGCAACAGCTCAGGATGGATTTCAGCCAGCAACAGCCTCAAGAGCTGCTGCACAACCACCGGGAATGTCTTCAGTTGGGCACGTGTAGTTTTGGTCGGCGGGGTCGAGCAACGTTCTGTAACATCGCCAACATATCCGGTACGCGGTGGCAGGCTTGCCGAGCACGAAATGAAGGGGGGGTCGCATCTCACCATTCAACTAAGCATGCATGTGCTCGGTTGAATGCTCGGTAGCGTGCGAGTTTACCCCTATCAGGATGTTTGTTTGCATATCCCTCCAAGCGAGAGGGCTTGCACCTATGCTGATGTTCGTTCCAAGAAATGAACTGAGGACTGATGCTACGGTGAAAGATTTGCACGTAAATTCGCCCGTGCAATAAAACGCCCTGTAACTCGCTTACGCTAATCTCACATTCCAATATGCCACTGCACTTTCCTCTCCAGCCTGGCCACATTATCTTCCTCGCAAACGTACTTGGGCACCTTACAATCCAACACCATACGTGCTTTAGAAACGCGGGCAGCTGCTTCACAAGGACCCCCCTATTTACATTTCTACTATAATCAGTTGGTGCTTGGGTAGGACAAGCGATGGCCGCAGAGTATCCACCTCGCGACCGGTTGTCTCTGCGCGCCTACATCCGGGCGCGCTTGCGGAGTCGCGGCCTGCTTGAATTCGCAGATGACGATGAGGAGGCGCGTATTAGCGCCGACCTTGTCTATATGAATTGTGGGCGGTCGTGGTATGAGGACGCACTGTCAAAGTCTAACTTGGAGCTGGAACCCGTGCTAGCCACAAGTACGGTACGTAAGAGCGAACTGTACTCGGTGTTAGGTGTAAGGGCAGCGTCTCCCGCTTGAAGCTGTTCATGCCCTCGACTTATGCGTTTCCCCCATACCTCTGCACGACCCTGCCAATCCTTCCAACACGCCTCCGCAGGACGTCCCTGTGCAAAGCATAGGTAAGCTTATTCCCCAGTTGCCTTGATTGCTAATTCGTTTGCTATTCCGTCGTTTTGGGGCAACGTCCCATGGATGTGACGGGCCCGCGGGCCGGTAAATCCGAAGTTTTTCATCCGTGCACCTAAAAGCACACCAGTCCTGACTCCTGCCAAATTATCTTTCGGGAACACCTCCATGGGCCAGTTACAGCTTTTCAATGCCAGCGCCTCATAAATCAACCGCTTCCTTGGGGTCACTGCCGTCGTCCCTGCCGGCGCGTTCCCTGGCCATGTGCTGGGGCGGCGGCAGTACACGGGACGCAAAGGTCCATGAAGCGCAATGACCGCTTCTTGGAATCACACACATACACACACACACACACGGCACACGGTACACGGTACATGTGGCAAGTTCATGGCGGCCACCAGTTCATGCACTCGCCCTCCTTATGCTCCGACATGGGGTGCCAAAATCCCACGTAGCGATATCATGTTTCAATGGTAGTGTGCCTTTCTAACCCCACTGCGTCTACGCGGACTGCCTCCCCGTGCGCATCCCCACCCCCACATCAGCACTTGTACTAACAGTCTCGCTCTGGATCCCACCCTTCCACATTACCACACCACCACCACCACCACCATCATCACCATCCTTCTACACGACCACCACGACCAGTATGTCCGCAAAGCAGTTGGTGACCCCCACCCCCACCCCCCCGCGATGTGGGTCATTCGCTTCCTCGGCCATGACCAACCTGATTGGACATGACCTGAACGACTCGATCTTGTGGGAAACAAAGTGCGCTTGCCCGCGCACTCCACATTTATTTCCCCCTGCCTACCTACGTACCTACCTACCTACATGCATCCGCACGCACGCGCGTGTCAGAGCGCGCTGCTCTCCCCCACGCGGTTGGTTTCACTCGGCTATGTGACAACCCGTTTGGCTTATTTACCGCGCTACCGCAGAGAACACGGTGCGCGACAATGACGAGTTCTGGTCCAGTACCGGCGCCACCAGCACAGCCGCGGGCGAGGCGCTGCTGTACAGGTTGCGTCCGCCCCTCAGCAAAGTGGCCTACGTCAGCCTGGCCGTGTTCCGGGCGTTCTACCAGCACGGGTAAGAAAGAACCTGCGGCAAGTCCAGTCCAGGTCCGAAATTCTTCAGATTTCCAGAAATCCAAAAGATCCAAAAAAATATTTCAGAAACCCAGATCCAGAGACTCTGCAGAGACTCCGGGGGCACGGCCGTGAGGATCTCTCTCCTTGGAACCCTCCGGGATGAGGACTGAGGCGGGGGTGAGGGCTGAGGGGGGAAGGCACAGCCCCCCGGGATGGCGCTTTGAGGCAGAGCGCCGCGGACATGGGGAGTTGTGTGGGAAGAGGGGAGATCTGTGCTGGCTGTGTGGGGCACCGGGGACGTTGGGGGGCCAAACCAAAAACCTGGAAACGTCCTATTTAGGCGACCTCGTTTGTTTTAGAAGGACCTGGCACCTCTACACTCCCTTTTGAGTTCCTCTATCCCCCAACATGCTGATGCCCCCCTATTGGGTCGCCGCTATTGGGGGTCCCTCCCGCCCCACTCGCGCCTGGCTGCCGCAGCCACCCTCTCCAACCGCACGTCCGATTCGTGTCACGATCCGTGTCGTGTCCTTCCCTCGCCGCGCCCTCAAACCCCCACCCCCCGCCCACCCGCCCTTCTCCACCACCACCACCACCCTCAGGGACCCGCTGTACCCGCCCCGCAAGGTGTCCTTCCTGACGGGCCCCGCCCCCAACCAGCTCTACCCGGCCTCCCCGATCTACCCGGTCCGCCTCACGGAGGAGGTGCAGGTGGGCCCACGCCGGCGCGGGTGGGGAGCCCCCCACTGTGTTCCCAAGCGTGCGCCTGTGCGCCTGATTCAGTGACTTGGCTATGGGATGTTGGGAATGGACGCCGTGGTGGCAGCCTTCTGGCTGGGGGGTCGTGGGGGGCTGGTTGGTTGACTGGCCGGTGAGACCCGGGTGGAGCTCGCTCTAACCTTTTTGGGGATCGTTGTGAGGCAGACACGACTTTTCGCTGTCCCGTTACCCTTAATGCACTGATTCATCCACTCTGTAGCCCCCGAGTTGGCGATTTTTTCGCCTTTTCCTTATCCGTCCCCTTTTGTGTTGGTTTGGGCATCGGCGGTTGAATTTAAAACATTTGTACAAATTCGGTCCTTGGTTCAAATCCTTAGGGTAACGCCAATTTGTTCTCTGTCACTCTGCACCCTCTGTGATTCGTCGTCCCCTCCACCTGCCCCGCACGTGCGACCCCTGGCGCAGGTGTTCGCGGTGAGCCCCACAGCTGCGGTCAGTCAGTACTTGATGATCCGACTGCACGGCAGGCTGCAGCGCCAGTGGGAAGGTGAGGGAGAGGGGATGGGACTGGGGGCGGCGGAGGTTTGGGGAGAGGGGGACCCTGGGGAAATGATGATACCTCACTGCAGTGTATGTATGTATGTTGTTACCGGGTGGTATAGCTTCACCAGCGGCCCCATTTCCCTTGGAGGCAGTTCCCTGCTCTCCCCTGCGAGAGGGGCACCCTAATCCGTGGGGGGGCCACCAGTGATTTTTTTTTCATTTAGGGGGGGTCTCAATTTATTCCAACCTAAGTAACAAAGTTGCTAGCGTCGCCGTTATGTATTCCTTAAGAGTGGGGCGCTGGGGGGGGCTACGCCCCCCCCAGACCCCCCCGATAAGTTACAACTCCCCTCATAGACCAAGAGGCACACACTGCGTTGGCGCGTTTTCGTTCATGTGCGCACGCTTCATGCACATGCATAGATAGTTCTGGCACTGTTTGTGAACAAAAAGTAAATCCGACCAAGCAAAGGCCCAAAGCAAGCAACCGCATAGCAAATCAAAGGCCGTCACCCGCCACTGCAAACCACAGCACACTAGGACTCTACCGGTTCATCATGTACCGGCCCCTGCTGCTGCTGTCCAGCCACTTCCTCAGTGGGATACCTGGCGGCCCAGGCAATCTGCCATCTGTGGGGATTTTCCTTCTGCTTGTCCCGCCATGCACCGTCGCTCATGCCCTTGCGGATGCGCTGTGTCTGAGCCCGCTTGGCACTGCGAGCGCTCGGGTTGGGCGCCTCGCCGCATTCGTTGTTGTCAAGCTGATTGGGTGACAGCTTGCGCTTATGCTGATCACAACCGCCATGGAAGGCAGGGGTAATGGCGCCCGTGTCATCGGTCGCCGCTGGCAGCAACATTGCCGATGCATTACCGACAACAGCACCGCCGTCCCAAACGCCTTTATCAGGAAAAATTTCAGACTTATCTTGCTGTTTTTGTGTTTGTTCGGCGTTCAAGTCGTTGCCTTTTGCGTGTTTGTCTATGGAAGGACCGGTCATACATTCTGCTATGCCGCGTTGACTCACGGGCTTGACCTTCTTACGGGCCCTCATATCTATTTTATGATCGATAATACTAAATTCTGCACACTACGGAGCAATCTGGCAGCAATGGACGTTTTTGGCTGAAGGAATGAAAATGTACGGATCGGCCTCACTTTGTTCCTTATTTCCAAAGGCCAAAAAGGCTCTTTATTCCTAAAAAGTAATATATTACTTAAAAAAAAACACTGGGGGCCACCTCCCACTTCAACACCACTCACACACCGAGAGGTCGGCAGGCGGATTTGAACCCAGAACCTCCGGGAGCAGAAGTCAGGCCTTAACTTCTGCCAGCCACCTGCAGTGTATGTATGTACGTCTCGCAGGAAACTCGTGCTGCTGATTTAGCTCGTGATCTGCAGCTCCAGCTCCGAGACCGAAGGGGAGGGCGGAGCCAGGGGGGAAGGGGGAAGGGGAGGGGAGCGGGACAGGGGTAGGTGCGGACGGCTCCGGTTCAGGCGCTGGGGGATTTATGGTTAGGGAGGTCTGGGCCACCCAAGATTTAGCCAGGCCTGTTTTTTGAGCTGACATAATTTTGACGCGATATCCACACGGCGCCATGGTATGTGTTGTCCGATATACCTTCGACAGACTTGCAGTTCTACATTGCGATACGGCACGTGGCAGCGTACGGCACTCCAGTCAATCTGTCGTACGGCCTCCAGGTAGCGCGCCTAGCCCGCAACAACGGCCTCGCGTGGCCCAGCACACGCGGCCTGGTTGCGCCAGCGGCGGTGGTGGGGAACGGGGAGGGCTGCCGGGAGGCGGCGTACGGCAGCACATGCAGCGGCGGCGGGGCGCCATTGTCTCGGCGGTCGGGCGGTAGGCGGCCTCCCCAGGAGCTGTGGCTCCCGGAGGACGTGTACGAGGCGGGTCCTGTCTCATCCAAGGAGTCGTCCTGCAGAGTGTGTGTCTCTGTCGGTAAGTAGAGTTAGGTACAAGTTACAAATGCCGCACGAGTGCGCGGGAGTCCGTCAAAGCCGGAAGGCCAATGGACGATGTATATTGAAAGTTGATTACACCGTACAACCGACGGCGGTTTACTAACTAGACCCCCCCTCATCCAGTCACCCGACAGCCGTAGAGACAGATAAGCCAGCATGCGAAACTTAGTCCATAAACTAGACCACATCTCCGCGCCTCATCAGCGATTTCTAATTCTCCTGATTATTTTCGGGGTTTGACCAGAAATCGAACTCAGAACCTTCACCTATCAAAGAGGTCCGCAAACTGGACCGTACTGTTCAAAATATTAATAGATATATTTGCAAGGTTATGGAGCTTACCGGGATCGATCCGGTGACCTCACGCATGCGAAGCGCGCGCTCTACCACGGAGCTAAAGCCCCTCCTTCAATGATGAAAATGGAGGAGTGCCTAAACGTGTATGTGCCGTATTTTGGAGTTTGGGTTTGGCAGCTGCGAAGGAGGGAGGGGGGAGGAAGGTGCCTGCAGCGTACACACACGCGCGCGACGGCATCCTGAAGCTATCATACCATGCCAAAGCTGCGCAACCGGCGGTTGGACCGAACGAGCACGCCATTCTGTTTGTTAGGGTGCTTGCGGTGCTTTAATGGCGGTTCAGCACCCAGCGGGGAGGGCGTGGATTTACGCCTGGTGAGAAGTCTGCATGGACAGGTGCACAGGGTCTGCCGCCCGGACCCTCCGGTTTTGCAGCAAACAAGTGGCGAGAAGCTACAGACGTTGCCAGGCCGCAGGGGCAGGGGGGAGGGCTTATTGACACACGGTACGGCGAAAGCCTCCTATGCTTTCCGCTTTCCTCAACCCGCATCCTCTCACCCTCTTTCCCGTCTCTCACCTGCGCGACGACGTGTCATGCGCCCCACCCCTGCTGCCGTACAAATAGCACCGCGGCGCAGCCGTGGAGCACTAACGCTTGCAACGAAGGATGTGGTTTCGGAGCGTCTTGGAAAGCTGGTGGCGGAGCCGGAT